ATGTTTTGTAGCCACAGTCGAGTTCTCTCCTCAGCTTGAGCCAGTTTGTTTTCTTTGTCTGCATCATTTATAGTTTGTTGTCCATCTCTTTTCTTCATCTTTGTTCCTTTCTCATTACTTTTTCTTCTTTTCTCATTTTTCTAATCATTTCTTTGTCCAGTATCTTTTGTAGTAGATTCATTGTCTAATTTTTCATGTGTTTAGTAGAAACCAGATGAGCCGCATCAGATTACTTCCTCTGATTTTTTGTTTGTCTAGATTTGTAGTGGTCTAGTTCCTTCGCAAATAAAATGATGAAAATTTAGTTTTTGTTTCTCGTCTAGATTATATTATATATTTAGTCTGATCTAGTTTTTTCTGTTTGGGTCTTTTGTGTGACAGTGGTGTAGTGGGTAGAGCAGTTGTCTCCCAACCAGAAGGTTAAAGGTTCGAATCTCAGTGCTTCCAGTCGAAGTGTCCTTGGATAAGACACTGAACCCCCCCATTTCCCTCGATGGTTAGAGCCATCGGTTGAGTTGGCGCTGCAGATGGCTGCCATTGGTTCTGTACCGGAAACAAATTCCTTGTGTGTAACATACTTGGCCAATAAAGGTGATTATCCTATTTTCTTATCCTTATCCTGTTTCTTTGTCCCATTGCGTTTTCTAATTCATCATCTAGATAATTCTTTAGATGTGATGTGAGGTGATGTTCTTTACACACGACTAAGCAGAGGATGTTTTTGTTAGTCATCTCTTTTTATTTCATTAATAATCCTGAAGCCAGATTTATTTATATCCAGAATCTTCACAAAAATGTTGAGAATAGAAACACAATATTGATACGTTATTTATAATAATGCCACGTATCAGCCTGCTTCTAGAACGTCGTCATTGCTTGTACCTTGTAGAATCTGTTGCTGGACAAACCAAACCTCGGTTCAGAGTTGTGATCCACATAGAATTAAAACCTGTAATGTGAGGAACCACGGTGTGCAGTGTCTGCTGGCCTGACAGAGCGAAGGAGGGGCTGACAGGCAGAATGAGCTTTACAGAGAAAACCACAGAGAAAGAGCGAGAGACATTTTCCTAATCAGGACCAGATGGTTTCATTCAGCCTTACATACTTCAGAGAGCGGGAGGGCGAGAGAGCATTAGGAAGGCAGTGACAGAGAGCGATGAAGAGAGAGGGAGAGCTGGTGAAAGAGAAGAAGACGAGTGTGGCTCCACCCAGGCGCTGTGCCAGCTGACTGACTCTCACTGTGTCTGTTAATAGAAGCAGGGGCTGGCGGCAGCCCACCGGCAGATCAGCTAAATCTTGTCAGAGCTCTGCGGCCCGCCAGTGGGCTCCAGTGGGCCGGACTTCCCCAGCGCAGCGACAGAGAGGAAGACGGCACTTCTGGCCTCTTTACTGAGTACATTTACTCAAGTCCGGTACTTTCATGCTAATATGAGGAACTTTTACTTGACTTGAGCGTTTCCATTATCCTTCCACTACACTATGTTTGTGTGATGGCCTTAGGTTCTAGTATTTTATACCCTTCCTGTCCAGGACGTTTTGCTGATAATACTTACTGATGGTTTTTTACTTGTAATGGAGTAGGGTTTCACGGTTTTATTCAAGTAGAGACCTCTGAGCTTATTTCTCCAGTCTCTGCTTCCTCTAGATGCCTGTTCACCAGGTTTCTTCTATAGCAACAATTGTTTTGATCTAGTTAGTTCTAACAAGGTGATGACTAACTTCTTCATTTACATACTTTGCCTTGGATCTTGGTCTGGTTGGTTCTTCTAGTTCCTCTTTTCTTCATCATCCACTTCTTTTCTTCTGCTCTCTCTTTTGTCAAATGTCTTCATCAGGTTTGTTTTTGTTTCTTTAGTGTAATTTCTTTGTCCAGTTCTTTTTTCTAATTGATTAAATAATTTCTCTCATTTTAGTAAATTATTTGTAGATTTGTTCTTGTTTAGTTTCATCTGCTTTGTTTTTCAAGATTATTCATCCAGCCTGTTCTAGTTTTTGTGTTTTGTCCACTTGTCTAGGTTATTTTTAACAGACGTCTTTGTCCCTCTAGAATGTTCAGCGATCTAGACTTCTTCTATCGTCTTTTAAGTCAAAACTAAAAACTCATCTCTATAGACAGGATTTCTGTCTAAGGGCTCCAGTGGCATCATGTCGATGTCTTTTAGTTTGTTGTTTTATATTTATACTTTGATATGGAAGTCTCCCATGAGCTTTTGATATTTTTGATATTGTTTTATTTTGCTCTTGGTTTTGTTGTTTATGTAGCTGGTTTTATATTCCTAATATATGTTTTTCTGTGAAGCGCTCTGGGCTCCTCTGGAGTTGTAAAGTGCTTTACAAATAAAGTATTATTATTATTATTATTATTATTATTATTATTATTCTTTGTCTTCTAGTTCCTTATGTATTGTCTTTTCTTCCTGGTGTATTAGTTTGCCAGGAAGCAGTGTGTGTTTGTACTGTAACACCAGCCATATGTTAAATATCAGCCTGTGCACTGAAGAAAGGGGGAAAATGTCATGAAATGTCAGGAAGTGGCATTTTGGAGAAATGTTGCTACAAAGCTGATAAAATGCTGCAGATTGAGTTCAAACTGAACATAAATAAAGCAAAATGTGTGACAGTGGGTTTGCCAGCTGCTTGTTTCCGTGGAAACACCACCCCTTAGCTCACAAAGCCCCGACCTCCTTGGAGGTCAAAGGTCACTGTACAGATTTTTGCAAAAGGCTTTAACATGACATGGACGCAGCAGTTGAAGTTTTGGCGAGGTCATGGTAGCAGTGGAATCACATGAGCCACATAACATCAGCTGTGAACAAGCTTTACTGACATGACCAGATTCATGTGAACAATAATTTCCTGTACGTTCAAAAATACACCCAAAATTTAACGTATTAAATTTAATTGTCAATGAACACAATTGACAATGTCAGTTAATTGTTTAGTCGATGAAAACTACTGACAGACTGCACTTTTCTAAAGTCCAGGATTCAGCTGTTTCCCTACTTTATATTACATTACATGAATCCTTTTAAGGCTGATAATGTTGGTCTGGACGTGAAACACTGCAATGTGCAATTTTTTCATTATATAACTTTAATGAGCAATACAAAAACTGTGTAAATGTGAAGAAGAAAATGGAAAAGTGAATTTTTCATATTTTTACTAAATAAAACTTGAAACAACAGATTTGCACTGGAATAAACAGCACAGTGTAGTTATACAGTATGCAGATGTTAGCTTTATCGGTCAAAGATACAGGGGTGGAAGAAGAACTCAGGGAGGAGGTGCAGTGGCTAACGGCTGGTGCAGAACCAACAACCCGTCTCTGAATGTGGCTATGACTAAAGAGCCAATTGTTGACTTCAGGAGGGCACTGAAAGATCACTCCCCACTGAAAAGTTGCTCAGGTGTTCAGGTGGGGGGCGGAGCCAATCCCGGCAAACGGGCGAAGGCGGGGTACACCAATGTTTCGTTTCACTACGTATCCACTGTACATGGTTCACATGACAATTAAAAATGACATCACTTGATTCGGATCCAGAAGAAACAGTAGAAACACCACAGTGTAAAATTACCCAAGTAAATGTACTTTCCAGTATATGTAGTGCTGTTGTAATGTGTGCTTTTATTTTTATATTTGATTTATTATTGTTTAAATCTAATCATTAAATGTATGCTTTGAGCTTTGTTCCCTTTGGGATTAATGAAGTACTGAACTTAATAATGCCTGCATATTGTATGTACTGATGCAGTACTAGAACAGTAGACAAGTGTTAAATTGGTACCATGTTCAGAGTAATGGAGCTGAAGTGTAAATCCAGCTTTTATTTTAGCAAGGACTTGTAGTCATTGATCAGGCGACTGGAGAATAAGGAGGGCAGTTGATCAATCACTGCATATAATGATTAATCACTGTTGCTAGTGTGTGTGTGTTTCCTCTCACTTTTTGTCGAGATGAAGAACACCCCCCAGCAGAAGGTAGAGTGCACGTTAGTTTTTTTTATACACAGGATACACACTCAGGCTGCAGTACCAGCAGTGGTAGAAGTACTTGTTAAAGTAACCATATCTGTGTTTCCTGTGTGTTCAGTTTGTTGTATCAAAGCAGAGTCACCAGATTGTGTCTCGTATGAGTTGATGAGTCGACAGCAGGATGAGCCCAGTGTTTAATGTTCCTTCTGTTGCGAAGACAAAATGAGCCTCGAGCTCTTTAACGCTTCCAGCTCCACAGTCATTACAGTGAAAAGGCTGACGAGGCGACAACACACATCTACTGCCTCCATGTGTGTGTGAGGGGATGAATGAGCGGAGGGATTTAGGAGGAGGAGGGAGGAGGGAGGAGGGGTGGTGATCTGGGGGTGAAGCAGGGAGAATGCTGTAGCTGCCGCGCTCTTACATGTTTATGAGCTGCCTTCACTCTGACAAACATGAAACATAAACAAGAAAAACTCTGAGGTCAGTTTCACAGCTGTAAAAGGAGCCAGAGATGCTGGGGGAGCCCGTGCTGCCATGGGCCATCCTGCATCCCCTAAGTGTGACTGCAGCGCCGCCAACTGGTGAAGTTGTGTGAAATTTTATAGGCTTTCTCAAAGGCCCGATGTGCACATGTAGCCCACTTTGGTTAGATTAGGTTAGCCACCTAGCATGGTCAGGATTTTGCCTTTATGTTGGAATAATATGATTTTAATTTGAGAGGAACTGGAGCTTTGTGCCACATCAGCAGTAACCAGAGCGTTCTACTGGACTGACACCTTTACTGTTAGCCAGCTAACGCTAGCTTCAGACTGGAGGCTGCAGTTTGTACAGTTTGTCCAGGCATCCTGGTTTGTCCAACCAGGCATCTGTAGTTTACGTTGTAGCTTCAAGAAAACTGGACCTTCATCACTTTCAGCTAACAGAAGGCTTCATGATGCACTTTGGATGTGAACTCCCAGGAACTCTGTGACATCTGTGTCATCTGTAAAACAAAGCTAACACAGTTTTCTCTCTCTCTCTTCCAGCCTGTCTATCTGGGCAGTCTCCAGAATGTGCTCTGGTCCAGTCCAAAGAGGACGACTTTGACTGGGAGCAGGGGGACACCCGAGACCACCTGACAAGCCTCCCTTGGATCCCTGCAGGTACCTGTCTGTATAGGTGTCTCACTGTCGGGTTGTTAGCTAGAAGATAAGGGTTCTTACTGCTGGATGTGTTCCTCAGGGAACACTCCTTGTCTCCTTGTTCATTTCGTCTTGTCCTCACTCATTTCTTCACCCCCACCCCATATAAAATACATTAAACAGGACAATAAATGCCTCCTCTCCTCTCTCCTCCACCTTTTCCTCACTTCCCTTTTATATAAATCACAGTAAACAAGGCAGTAACCACTTCCTTTCTGTGTGTCCTCGCTCAGCCTGTCTCTCACCTGATTGGCTTGATGATTTAAGAGCACTGCATTCTCATTCGTCTGCTGCCTAACCTCTGTGAGCATGTGACAAATGACACGCTTGGCCGATCTTATCGGCGTGCTGCATTGTGGACTCCCACTGTCCGTCCATAACTCAGAGGAGGAGCACTGGCAGGTCAATAGGAGATAACACAAAGGCTGCTGCAGCTCCTCTCCAGGTGCATTATGGGAGGAATTCAATAGTTCATTACTGCAACTACATTTATTCTCTCTTCCTCTCCTCCCTTTCTGTCTCATTCAGCAGTGTGAAATACAACTCCTTAAACAGGAGAGGAGGAAACGAGAGAGGAGAGGAGGAACCTTGAGAGAAGGAAAGGAGAGAGGAAAGGAGGAAACAAGAGTGGAGTGGAGGATCCTTGCTGATTTTCATCCCAGTTTTCTACATTTAATTTATATAGTCTGAGTTGGTAGTAGCTGAATTAGCTTCAACGTGAGCCACTTTTTGCTTATACTAAGTTTATTACCAGCAGCAGATTAAACAGTGAGCAGCTCCTATCGCTGGATCACTGAGAGACTGAAGGAAAGTTAGACATGAGCAAGTTCTGCAGCGTCTTCTCTGGTTTCTAAGTGTATTTATGGAGGTTTATTCTGGATGGACATCAGAGATAATGGCAAGTTATGAAGTGTATTACTACAAATATGTTTCATGTCTCTGTTTTCACATTTGATTGAGTTAGGACTTTGAGAAGGAGATGAATTGTCCCTGGTGGAGTTTAAAATGAGCTTTTGCTGGAGAACAAAATGAAACACATCCACTACAATACACTTAATCCTTTCTGACTGTCCTCATTTCCTTTGTGTTGGTCCCTGGCATCCACTTCAAACTGTCAGATAAGAATCAATGTGACAAGTAACACCTTTAAATATTTTATGTTTTTGACTTGTGAGCACAGCTTTGTAGAAAAGAAATGGTACCTCTGACTGCTCATAGATGAAGCTTTATAACACCGACACTTTAAAATGGTAGTTCTGCATGTGTTCTCACTTGGGGAAAGCAGCAGGTCTGGTTGCAGTTCTCTGTTTTAACTCATCTGATTTAATATTGCAGACACACACAGACACACAGAGTTGCAGCGAGGCATCGATTGACCAGTGATTGCAAGCTCCATTTAATGTTCTTACAAATGGTACAAGTTCAATCTAATCTGAGCCATGTAGCACTGGCTCGCCCTCTCTCCTGTCAGTGTGAACAACAGTAATCTTCTCTAATACCCTTTACAGCCACACACACACTCGCTGTTCCAGGCTGGGAACAATTTCCTCACTCGTTAGCATTTGTTGCTGCAGTGACCCAAGTGAGTTTCACAGGGTTTTTCACAATATATTTAAATGTTTGACCAGATCCTGCATGGCAGCAGAGTCTGTCTAATGGTCCGGTCACTGACAGGTAAAAGCTAACTCAGATCAGCGTCAGAGTCCGACACATATCCATCACATCATGATGTTTTAGACAAAGTTACACATGGCCTTTTTTTTGCCATGAACTGCTAACAGCACTGAACATCACAGACTGCAGATGGATGGTTCTGGGTGGTTCCTTACCCGTAAACGTGGTTTTATTGCAGTTCTTCTTGTCTTGCAGCTCATTTTTCCCTCAGTCTGAGTTAGTTCCTCAGACGATCAGGGCACTGACTGTCAGTCACAGCTGTTGGCCAATGAAGTGCCTTGGTCTCTTGCTTTTAGTTGACTTGCTCCAATCAGGAATGACCGCAGGGAGCACACAGACAGACAGACAGACACACACACACACACACACACACACACACACACACACACACACATACAGATGCCTTTGGTGTGTGTACATATGTGTGTTAGTGTATTTGTGTGTGTGTGTGTGTGTCTCTGTGGGGTTCAAGGTATATTAATATTTCTAATAGGGCTGTTATCAGCTCACTGCCAGCTGTACACAGCAATCTCACACACACAGTGTTGCTTGAAGGCAAATATACACAACACTCTGTCTGTTGTGTGATAACTCCCACAATGCCTTTCTCTGTCAAAGAGACCTGGAGGTCACAACCACTTTTCAAAAAAAAAAACACACAAAAGCACACACAGCTGCAGTCATGCCAACAGGTAAACAGTGTTAAAGGTGAGAGAGGATGACAGAGATACACAGAGAGAGAGATTGAAGTTTTGGACTTTATGGTTTGACAGATAATAATAGAAAATGGTGTGTAGTTGTGTGTCTGCGTTAATGAAATATGTTAAATGGTTTATCAGCGTGTCAGCATGCAGGAGGTTCACCCTGCCTGTGAACACGAGTGTGGAGATATGCGAGTCCAGTGTGCATAAAGCCGCTATCAGCCTCTTACCAAAACCAATTAAAGCCTCCTTTAGGGGGTTAAACACTCAAGTCCAGCCAATTAGATTAGAGGTCACACTGACATGCTGGGTGGGACCCTATTGGCTGGCTGGTCAGTCAAAACACTGGCATTTTGTTAAATTCCTCGGATGTTTCTGATGGATATCAGGTTTATGTCTGTACTCATACATGTTCAGGATGTGATTAGCTTAGCTTAGCATAAAGTCTGCAAGTGGAGGGAGACTGTTAGGTCAGTGAAAAAACAAAGTAATCCACCTTCCAACAAACAGCATCAAATCTGATTTACATGTCATGCACAGTCAGAACTCAGTCATGACCCATCACAAAAACTGTGCATCTTTGATTTGGTGAGCATTTTATACCTTTTTATGATCATTTTGTTTCTCTTTTTGTTTGTAGTGCATTTGAGCCTCCTTGTGGTCTATATATATATATATATATATATATATATATACACATACACTTATTTCTCATAATACAGTATCATGGCGCCAACAGCGATGGCAGCCTTATGTCTTTGTGAATGTTGTGTGTACGTTTGTAGCAAATTTGAGTCTTTTGACAGTTTGTGCCTCTTTGTGGTCTTTTGGTATTATGTTTTACCCCATAGAGACTGTGTCTGGCCCTCGCCCACCTAAATTATATAAATCAAGAATCAACTCCAGAGGAGTTATTCATAAGAACCTAATTAAAATTAAGATGACTCCTCTTATAGTAGAAAGTAATAGGACAATCAAATGTGGACTGTTAAATATCAGATCTCTCTCATCTAAATCTCTGTTAGTGAATGAAGTGAACATCACATTGACTTATTGTGTCTTACTGAACCATGGTTACAGCAGGAAGAATATGTCAGCCTAAATGTATCCACTCCACCTAGTCACAGTAACTGTCACATCCCTCGAAACACAGGCTGAGGTGGTGGCGTGGCAGCGATCTTTGATTCAAGCCTATTAATCAAACCTAGACCTAAACATAGTTATAACTCATTTGAAAGTCTCACCCTGAGTCTCTCACACCCAAACTGGAAAACTCAAAAGCCTGTTCTATTTG